TGAGAAGTTCGGATCAGCCCCTTGCTGTCCTCGAATCTATGAGACAGGCCGAAGTTCTGCTCCCGAAACCTTCGACAAATAAATGGGGTTCCGATCCTAGACTGGCATTTTTCGACCAGAAGGCATTCGAATCGAGTGTTATTCAGGTTCCTGCCAAGCCGTGGACAACAGTTGCCGGAGATGGAATTGTGTCAGAGCTAATAACGGACTTCTTCACTTGGGATAACTCCTATATGTTTCCCGTGCTCGATAGGATCACGTTCGTGGATGAGATGAGAGCGGGAGATGATACAGAAGTGAAATGGTGTTCTCCTTTGCTGGTAAATGCTATTTGCGCTAAGAGATGTGTAAGTAGCCAGCCGACATTCTCGAACCATAACTAAGCAAGTGTAGCTGATGGTTGAACGAGGAAAACAATTCGGTGTCATGACAGGCCGTAACCTCTCCGATGCCTTTCTCGCCGAGGCCAAGAGTCATTTTGAGTCTGAACAAGGCCGACCATCGATACCAACTGTCCAAGGGCTACTTCTGATATACCTTACCATGGCAGCCACGGGGAAAGACAGAGCTGGTTTGATTTACCGCCTCACAGCCTATGAGATGCTCAAGCAACTCCGCTTGGAGGCGAGGTACAAGACAGCAAAGAATAACGTCCCTCCTCAGACTCACGACATGATGTTGACATCGAAGACGCTTTGGGGAATATTCCTTTTAGAGAGGTGGGATCGAGCTAATCCAATCATAAGACGTTGTATTGACTGTGAGCGTTTAGTCGGATAGCTTATTTCTACAACAGGCCCTCTACTATTCCCCCACCTCAAGTCCCTAAACCCTTCCTATCCATCCTGACATTCACCCATAAAGGAAATCTGGATGTTCTTGACAGGCCTTGGAAAGATTCATCTGATCTTGTTCCTCGCCCACCTGGGGTTTTGGCAGCTGCATGCTCATTTTCCGAACTTCTCTATGAGATCATGCAGTATCTCACAACTTCCAAGTTCAGACGGGGAAGTGAGGAGGATATTCATGCTAGACGGCTATTCTTTTCTCACCTAATACAACTGAAACATGACATACCTCGCCAGTTAGTCGTGGAGCAGAATCTTACACCAGTAACGTGTTTCTTGAGGTAAAGACACAGCTGGCTGAAATTTCATTCACTGACAAGACTACAGAATAGACGAGAACCTAATCCTATACACATTGCTTCAGGATATGCCTATCGACATACCATTTGGTGTCCCATACAGCTCGACAGTCAAGGACTTGTGCATTCAACACTGTCGCCACGATACCGAGATCATCGGGTCATTTATCAAGAAGTGGCCTACAAACCTAATGATAGCATATCAACTGTACATATCGATGCAAACGCTGGTCCCCATACTAGATGACATCGCGGTACAAGATCTGTTTACAAAAAGCTGTCGGATGGCGCAGTTGTCTTCTGGTAGCGTTAGACTCAGTGGAGTTCTCTTACAAGCGACTCAAGCCTTCGTTTGGGCTATGGAAAAGTTCATCCCGGAACCTGCAAGGCAACATCTCGAAGGATGGACTCAAGAAACAGTTGAAAAGGACTTGCCAATGAGCTTTGCCTTGCCTCCCCGGGGGGAGGTCATGGAAGTCCTGGCTTCTGATGAAAACGACCAGGAATGCTCGATATGGAACTTGGGCACCTTGATCGAGAAATGGGCGATGCTGTCGATGACTGGAAGCAGGCAATCGTCGTGACCATAAAGAACGAGAAATTCCTGCACCAGATGAGAAATGATCTCTGGCTGCGTCATATGCTTGTTCATCAAACTAGGATTCCCCTTCCATTGTTTTCGCTTTTGAGCCACATTATTCCACCGAGTTCAGGAAGAACAAAACCATGCATAATTCTTTATGACTCCTCGTATTCGATGGCGACATGATATGGTGGGGTCACGGGATACTGAGGTTTCGTGATTGTTTCACTCGGAGGCTCAGTCTCAACACGTGAACACCATATCAGATGATCTCATCAATTTAGGCGACTATGCTGCATGCTCAAACTGCCATCATATTCCGCTCGGGACATAACGTTATTTATAGTCTCGTCTTCTGATAATGGTAAATCTCAGCGCTCAACGCTAAGCAATGAGTGGATTTTAGAGCCTTGGCCTAGAGGGTCATCTTACGCGTCCCTAAGGTAATGCCAAGTAGATCACCAGCCACAGGCATATGCTCATCATGACAAACGTGATTCGGTGATTCCGATGCGAGATGGCTCAGCCCCGGGGTCATTTGGTGCATGTCCGAACGCCGAGCCACAGCATGCCGATGCATCCGGCTGCCAAGTGGCCGGGAGTGCCGAGACCCGCGCCGCAAACATGTTGGTTCGGGCAACTGCGCCACCTTTGCCTAGAGCGAGATCACATCAGCCAAGATCAATAAACCTTGTTGGAGCTGAATGGCTTGATGACGACAGTGTCTACTTAAGTAGACCTTGACCCCTCACTTTACATCACTGCTCAAAGCTAGAATTACAGTACAACTTCACAAATACACACAAACAGCACAAAGCAATATGTCAGCTCAAGATTACTACAGTGGTGGTGGTGGAGGTGGCTACGGCCAGCAGCAACAGCAAGGTGGTGGTTATGGACACCAACAAGGATATGGCCAACAACAACAGGGCTATCCCCAGCAGGTAAACTATCTACCAAGCTCTGAGCTCCAGCTGCAGTTACTGACAGAGCTTCAATAGCAACAATACTCTCAAGGATCCAACCACGGCTCCAACCAGCCCAGCTACGACAACCGTGATCAATCGTACGGCCAACACCAAGGCGGACAATACGGCGGCGGACCTGGCCAATACCCGGACGGTGCAGGTGGTCCCGGCGGTCCGGGTGGCCCGGGAGGTCCGGACGGAGAGCGTGGACTAGGCGCTACACTCGCAGGAGGAGGTGCAGCCGGCTGGGCCGCTCACACAGCTGGCAGCGGTCTTCTCGGCAGTCTAGCCAGTGCCGCTGCTGGTGCTATTGGCGCAAACTTCCTCGAGCACAAGTTCAAGAAGCACAAGAAGGAAAAGAACAGGAAGCATCACCGCGACGGGCGCCCTCGAGCTTTTACCGGCGACTCAACCAGCAGCAGTGACTCCGACTCTGGAGATGAGCGACGTCGACGAAAGGATGATGATTTGGCCTACGGAAAGTCTCAGTATGACAACTCCTCCCGGCATGGACATGGAGGCGGTTCTCACGGAGGCTCCAGCTCATACGGTGGAGGCGGATATGGTGGCCGAGATCAGGGCTACGGCGGTGGTCAGAGCTATGGTGGCCGAGATCAGGGCTATGGCGGTGGTCAGAGCTACGGTGGTCAGGGCGGATACGGAGGTCAAGGCGGATATGGCCAGCAGGGCTACGGCGGTACCCGGTACTAAGTGCACTTCTATGGCACTCAGCGGATTAAAGAACGAGACATGACCTTTTGTAATTGATATGAGCCGGAAGAATATCGACGTTTAACGTTAGACACGAATATAAATACCCTGCAACACTCATCTGTTGAGCCTTTGTGTGGCAAGCCAAAAGATTGCATAATATCTGGTCAATTATGCTCGCGCTCACTTTCGAGAAGCGTCTTCGGTAGTTTGACCCAGCCCCGATCGCGCTGAACTTGCTCTCCCTGCACATGCAGGTCATGAACTGAACCCCGCTAAATGATGTCTTGATCTCCACGTCTGACACAACAACCTGGTAAAAAAGATACGCGGTTAGCATTATCCGAGATACCATGCGACGAGGACACCTCATTACCGTGACTTCAGTCGTGGAGCGATCGTTTCATATGCGTCGTTTGCCAGACTGGATCTTCATCTACCGTAATAGCCGAGAATTCTTTTCCTTTCCAAAATTCAATGGCATTCGGCAGGAACGGATGCGTATGAAGGTAAAGCTGCTTGATTCCAGAACGCCGAGCTGTCTCGACTAGCGTGTCAAACAGCCTGGAAGCTAGCCCTGCGCGACGCCATTCAGGATCAACGTATAATCTCACTATCTCTACTACGTTCTCGGATTCGAGAGAGATATGTGAGAAGCGCCCGTCGTAAGCAACGTAGCCTATTGTCGCAATCAGGCGCCCGTCGGAGTGCGCTGTTAAGAACACGCCTCGAGGATGGTCAAGATATCTCTGCTTGAAGATGTCGAGTTCCTTCTGGGCCATCTGATCGCTGGATGATTGGTCCAGAAACGGGAACATGTCCGCTCGGGCCTTGGTTATAAAGTCCACGATTGTGGGAATCTCATCATGTGTCGCTGGCTGGATGGTGATATTGGACATGTTGAATTTCGGGTGATAGAGTCATTGGGCGCCTTAGATAAAAATTTCACGATAAAAAATATGGCGCAACGAACTCCACATCTAAAACTAATCGTGCTCGCGAAAAAGAAGCTTATTTTCATCCATCTAATCTCGCTAAATTGACCCTTCTTATCAATCTATGGCCCCATGTTTGATGATGCTGCCCTCCAACTTCATCATAGCCCAGCCAACAACCGGCAGGGTTTTCCCTTCGCTACTATTTAGGTTATACGACCATTATCTCGTTCGCAAGATAACATAATGCTTGTCTCGTTTTTGCAGTAGTCAGAGAAGACTCAGCCATGATTTTTATGAAGGTCTGGCATTAGACATGGGTATTAATTCACGCATCACGCTCTACACCTTCACCAATAATGACCCTGGGGGGATAAGCAGTCCGTCAGCAACAGGGGAGACAAGTAGCCACTGACAGCACTCTATCGCCGGAGCCTGCTTTCCAGCTGCTGCAAGCATATTCATATTGGGCAATTGTCTTTCGCCAACTGCATACCAGCACAGGGTTTCTACCATGGGCAGTGGTGCGATGCAGCTCAGTAATCTTTCAGAGCGTGACAACCTTAATTGCTATATTTCCATTCCCCAGATCTCTAGCGTTCCTCGTCTTTTTTCGTGTCAATTTCGCGACTGAGCCATTGCTGAAACAAGCCACGATGCACACTAAAAATTCCCTCCGTCTTTCATTTTCTCTCCTACTCTTATTGGCCGTAGAGACAGTTGCCGATGCCGATGATACTGATTTTCTTATGAATGTCTTCTCTGATCTTGGCCGGTAAGTCGTCAACACTTGATAAACACTTGTTCTTTTTTACCCCGATGGGTGGCCATGAGAACTGACCCAGTTGCTCAGTGTCCTGGCATTATTCGGTGAACAATTTGCTCGACAATTCCTTAGTGAGACCTTTACCTGGTACGATCATGTTATCTTCGCGTGCGTTACTTTGGGCATCATGACAGCGATTGCTGGTGCCATTCGGGTCCAAGGCCACAAGTTTCTCAAGGCCTTCATCGGTCGTGCTCGTGAGAACAAAGCAGCTGCGGAGATTGAGTACATGTCTTCCACTTCAGCCGAAGTCGGTGAACTCTTCAATGGAAAGGGCATCGTGCGAACAATGGGAGAGCCCGAAATTGCGCAGTTTATCGTATTCCCTGATGAACTCCTGAAGGAGAAGAAGGGTGCACAAAATCAATCATATGGCATACATACCCTCAAGTCCGCATCTCAAGAAGGCATTCTATACAAGGAAGGTATGGTTTGAAACATAGGTTTCTCCCACAAGTATTAACCTGATGCTAGGCTATTGCGATGAACTTGATCTAGCAGCACAAAATTGGTTAAAGTCATTCAACGGTACAGTGACTCGTAAAAGGGGTATCGAGCAAGCAGAAGACGAATTTGTTCATTCTATCTCAAGAATTGAAAGAGCAAACCCATTAGAAAAGAACGATAGGTTTCCCAAGTATTGGGAATCCCTGAAGTTTCCTAATCTACAGCTGAACATTGCAACCAAAAAGATATCGCCAAGAAGGAGAAGTATTGAACTACACTTGGCCGCCATTGTTGCAGTCATTCTCCAGGCCTCCCTTCTTGTTATAGCTGGTGTCGTCCCTTACCGTGCTCATGGCTACGAGACTCAACCATGGGGGCTTCCCTGCTACATCGGCGGCTCAGTCCTTCTTTTCATTGGTATGCTTGCATGCTCTGTTGCCATTGAGCGAAGCACCAAAGAGTTCAAATGGCGGCCGAGCTCAGGCATCACTAATAAGACGCAATACTCCTCTGAAGTCCGGCGTCAGTCCATGGATTTGTTTTGGGTACAACGGAAGCAGTGAGTCAGTGACCAAGACTTCGAATCTTATGTGATCTCTTCCCGAAATAAGCAATTTATACCAACTTCTAGTCGACAAGAAGATGTGCTCTCGTGAAAGAACAACAAAGGAAACAAAGGATGTAGGCGAATTGAGATCGGTCAGATTGATGACAACGCATCGAAGAATATTCCACAAGCGAACAAACCAGCCCGATCTGCTGAAGATAGGGGATTGGAGTCAGACTTTCTGGCGGTAACTGCGATATTGGCTGGTGGCGCCGGTTTCACAATCCAGTTCATTGGCCTCGGGGGACTGCCATGGCCTTGCGCTGTTGCTCAGCTTGGCGCCATCATCGCTATGGCTATCATCAGAGCCCTAGTTCGTCGAAGACTCGGAGACGATCCAAGCTATTGCCATGCACCTTCTCGGTATGAGCTAGACCTCCTTGCTACTCAACTCGCCGACTACTCAAGGACACGGCTGCCTAATCAGCCACTGAGGCCCTCACAGAAAGACTGGACATGGAGAGTCGATACGGCAAAACATCGACTACAGAGTATATACTGGTTCCGTATTGGAAACTGTCTAAATCCAAGCGCCTCTGGTTCGAATCACGAGGATTCTTCATCTTCACAGTCCGATCAATCGAACGAGGCCCAGCAGATCATGCTTGTTCGAAAGCGACTAGGAGATCTAGTTCGGTGGGAGACGGAGGCATTCAAGCTGGCTCTGGCATTAGCTCGTTCCATCGAGCGATTTTTGGACGAGTTTATGCCCGTTGCAGAACAGAACCTCGTAGAATGGAAAGTCCCTATGAGAGATTCAAAGGATAACCGTTCTGCTGTGACACTTGCAGTCACTAAGAAGGGCTCCAGTGGCTGGCAGATCAAAGTTGGCGAAGTTGAAGCCATCTTGTCACTATGGATGGCCCACCTGGAAGCGACCAAAGTTGTACAAACGAAAGACAAAGAAAAGTCTGATTGGCAAAGATCCAAAGCTGGTACAGCACTGGGAGTTGATTATTGCAGGATCCTCGGACCAAGTGACCAATGCGGTGTCTTAGAGCGAGACATCAAGTGGTGGGTGGGCAATTCTGCTCTGACCGAGATCACTATGGCCAAAAGAATGGACGAGGAAGCGACTGACCCTGGGAATCGAACTTGCGAGGCTTCATATCATTGCAAGGATCCAGGACATGATGATGTTAAGATAGTTATAGGTTTTGTGGGGCCACTCAAGCCTGAGAATAAGCCCAAGTTACTCGTGCAGCACTCTACAGCTGGGTTGGCCACCATTGCTGCACAGCACCTTTTTACGAGTTTCCTATGGACCATTGTTGATCTGGAACAACTACCAAAAGACGTCCTCGACCAAGGCTCCATAAATATCCATGAATATGTCAGTATTCAGCCACCCAAGCCGTTAGATCTAGAATCTACCAAACTTGGCATAAGCCGAAAGCTGAGTCATACCAAACTGACCAGATTCGCTCTTCATGCCGAGAAAGAGGGTCTTGGAGTACTGGATGACATTCTTTTGTGCCTCATCCCTATCTTCAGCCTGAAAGATGTTCTTCCCAACGACGCTGTGCTGAAGCTTGACTTGCCTGGCCTAGGTGGGCAAAGTGTGTGGGCAAAAGACGCATCGATTTACTTGGCGTTCCTCAAGTTCATAACTAAGGATTCTGAGTGCAATTTCGACGACTACCTTTCTTTGGCAACTGTAGTCCATGCACTAGACTACATCTACCTTATGTCCCTCAATAGTGAAAATATGGCGTATGGTAAGGCGTTGTCTCGAGAGAATGATACGGTCGCCAAGTCCCTTTCGAATAATCACATTGCAGACTGCAAGCGTCTGAACCGACAGTCTTCTGGCGACCTGCGAAAGCTAATGGAATATCTCTCTCTATTCTTCCCTGACGTGATCAAGAAGCTCAGGGTGTTTTACAAGCTACAGGGGCGTGAAGACTGTTTTTACGAGCTTGAGAGCTACTGTGAAAAGGAAACGCAGATTGGACCTCATGGGGCTGGAAACGGCAACGAAACCTTGATGAGACAAATCAGGTTCACTACACTCCATTTTCAGGCTTCTAAAATGGTTCCTATCAATCTAAGTTTGTTTCAAGGTATACACTTTCATACTACAGAGAGATTTGATGCTTACTAGAACTGTAGGGAAAGACTGGAGAAAGCGAGACATCTTTGGCTGGACAGCTCTGCATTATGCTGCCTCTTGCAAAGAGTTCGAATTTTTCGACGAGCGCCAGCATCCCGTCATGCCTAACAATGACCTTCCTGGTGATCTCAAAGCCCTGCTACAACATGATCACCCACAGACCTGGTGGCTCGACAATTTTGGCAGGAGCCCAGTTCATGTGGCTTCACTTACTGGAAATCACAGCTTCTTGGAGAAGGTATTAGGAAGCTTGTTAGTGAAAGAATTAAGATCCAGCTTGGAAGCGAAAGGATCAGACGGTATGACTCCCGTGCACCTTGCAATGGTGGGAGGTCACGCAAATTGTATTGCGGTCATCAAAAAAGCTATCAACCTACAGGAACTTGAATTGCCGATGGAGGCTTGGAAACGGAATCCAATTCATCTCGCTGTTGCCAAGGGCGAATATGGATGCTGTAAGGAGCTGATTTGCGACGAAAGTCTTAACTTCAAACCATATGCTCTCGATATTCATGGGAGATCTCTCTTCTCGTACCTTGACGAAGCCAATGGAGAACAAAGATCAGTTTGGTGCCTGCTTCTCAAGGTTCACTCAAAACTCTTTAACAACAAATACAACGAAGGTCAGTCTGTTTGGCACTATGGGATCAAATTTTTGGGTGAAGAGGCAATCGATATTTTGCAAGATCAGCATCTATCAACCATCAACGCCAGCAATAATTCTGGCCAAACTCCTCTACATCTGGCAATCCAACTTCAGAGCCAACGGATTTCAGTCGTTTACTGAAAATCGGCGCTGAACCGGGCGTCAATGATGCTGGAGATCAGTCTCCGTTGATGTTTGCTTGCTCCCGTGGCGAAGCGAAAATGGTCAGGTCCATACTCGACATTAAAAGGAAAACTGCAAAAGACGAGGACAAATATGGGAAGTCTTCGTTGCACTATGCGATTGAGTGCAAAAGCTGCAACGACGAAGATCGAGAAAAGATTGTCAAGTCGCTTGTGTCAGCCATGAAAGAATCGACATAGAGGATAAACAGGGCTGTACGCCACTACATCTTGCGTGTCAAAGCTCCAAGAGTTCGATAGTTTCTATTCTTATAGAGAAGGGAGCCAATCCGGATACAAAGGATGATAAAGGAAATAATGCCCTTCATTATTCAGTAGGGCTTTGGCCGCAGCCTGGTGTTGCAACGTCCACTTGGAGAGAAGAAATTGCTGAAAAGGTTTTGAAGAGGTCACCTGCATGCATCAGGGACCAAAATGAAAATGGACATACAGCACTCTTTTTGGCGCTTTTACGAAACGAGGAAGATGCTAGTATCTTTCTACTACAGAATAACGCTGACCCTCAAGTCATAAGTGACAAGGAGCCTGTATCCCCGTTTATGTGGGCATGTCAGCATGGCGGGCCACTGACCTTCATTTCAATGGTCATGCTCATGGCTGGGCAGCAAAATAGTAAGATTGATCTCAACAAAGGCGATGCAGTATTTAATCAGTCGCCCCTTGCATGGGCATGCGAAGGGAACAGGACCGAGGTCGTCAAGATGTTGCTCGTGACTAGCAAGTCAGCCCAACTTCAAGAGAAGCTTGACCTCAACAAACGGGCAACAGGATACAGAAACACAACACCACTTCACCACGCACTAATTGAAAAGAACCATGACATTCTGAAACTTTTGCTTGATGATCCTAGGATCATGCGTGGGTTGGGTGCGACCGACTGCGATGGCCTCAATCTCTTAGAGTTCGCTTTCGAGAGATCGGATCAGAGATGCCTCACCACGTTGTTGTTACATCATCACACGAAATCGGCAGTGTTCTTCATGGACGGCTGGGAAATTATCATCCAGAAACATGCATCTTTGGTCAACAACCTCGAACTCTGGCACGAATGGGAGCGTAGCATTCTTGACCCTAAACGCAAGGTGCTGTTTCCTATTCACAAGCTGGCCGAAGCTGGTCGACAAGAGGCTATTGAGTCTCTTCTCCATAGTGGCATGAACGTTCATGAACTGGACGGAGACAACTGGACACCCGCCGATGTCGCTGCCGGGTACCATCATAAGGAACTCGAGGAGCTTCTTCGCAAAGACGACCCCAACAGAAAACTGGCTATGCACAAGTACTGTCAACCTTCAACCTTCATTAATGTTTATCAGGGACCAGAAATTACGACATCATCTACAAAGGAACCATCGCTGTCTTTCGTCTTAGGTTGGTGGGTACTCTTCTGCACCATGACCAGTTACTGATGCATATTTTGAACTAGGCGTGAATGTTCCCCCTACTGCAGAAGTTATGGGTAGCTATCTTCGCACTCAAGAGGCGATTCCTCCCGACTCGAAATGTTTTTACTATGAAATAGAAGTCCTTCATGTCAGCAATGAGACGTAAGTGATTGCCGTATTTCTTGCTTCTCCTCTTCAGATAACTTTTTCTCGTATTGTGCTAATATTTTGAATCAAGATGTTGTGTTTTTGGCTTCTGTCAGGCTTTTGTTCCTCAAAGATCGCTGCCTGGCTGGCATGAAGGATCATGGGCCTATCACGGAGATGACGGGGGATTATACATAGAAGGGGCATGGCACATAAGTCGTGAAAGTGATCAGACTTTCGATGTAGGCGATATTATAGGCTGTGGTATGAACTTCGAAACTGGTAAGGGGTATCGCACCAAGAATGGAGTCCTCCTTGACTCTTGTAAGTTCACATCATGAGCTATGGCAGAAGAAAATTTCTGACCCAAAACTAGGCAATGCGTTTGATGGTCACAACTTCTCGAGGGGCAAATTCTATCCATGCATAGGATTTGGCGCCACTACGCAGGGAACTCAGATGCAAATTCGAGTTACGTTACGAGCTACTGAGGAGTATCCTTTTTGTTTCAAAGGGCCAAACGATGGACAGACTTCTGAGCCAAGAATCCAGCCATCAGAGTAGGTTCTAGGTGGAAACCTTCTTGAAAGGTTGTTGAGCATGTGGATAAGCTAGAACGGAATGCTCTCAGTCATCGAGGGAGGTGAACTACATATGCCTTATCAAAAAATGGTCTCTAAGACCTATTCACTTTGGTAAAGTGGCCATAACAAGCTAGATGTAGTATATTTCTCGAAGTAAGATTATAATTGCAAACAGATTCATGCCTCATGTGTTCCATCAATGCCCGTCAACCGACGAGGCCTAAGAGCTAACCTTTGGCGAAAAGCGAGTTCAGCCCTGAAGGCCGTCGGCTATCATCGCATTAACAAGCTGAACATGTCGGTTGGCGTTTGTCTCGCTCCACTCGTTATCGTAGTTAAGTCCATATGGCCAAATATGTCCTCCACCACAGTTGATACGAACACCAGCACCATCCCAAGACTGAAGCAGAGGAGTCGCCGTGCGCCAATCATTCGCAGCACACTTTCTATCAAAAGCTGCAGTCTGGCCAATTCCAAGAGTGTGAGAGATCTCATGCAAAGCAGTTCGTTCGCTCATGTAAGACCGGTTAGAGCCGAAGCGAAGACTTCCGTTGAAGTTGGCATCGGCTGTTGGAACGCCGGGAACGTAGGAGACGCGAATGGTCTTTGTGGCACTGCCCAAACGGTTGTATCGCGCTGCTGCGAGTCGCATGGCATTCTCAATGCGGCTGTAGGCATCGGCTTGGTCGGCTGATGGATTGGAGACCTTCTCGAGGGACCAGTTGATGGCGGCTGAAGTGGTGGAAACGCATGCCACGAGGGCAGTGAACATAGTAGAGAACCGCATGACAAATGTTCGTGAGAATTAAAACTGTAGTGGTGAGCACACCTCTTGGAAATGTCGATACCCAAGGCTCTAAATACTTCTCACAGCTCAGTCTATAGCATACCGCTACAACATCAGCTTCCATAATCTGCATTATTCATGTCGATCAACTTGACCCTTATCATTTCAAGGTTTCATCTATCGGCTCACATGGCCACTTTTGTAAAACGATACGGAGTATCTGCATCCGATTATCCTGTTCGAAACATCTATGAAGCATTCGATTGGGTAGGATGCTACTCAGACCACATTAGCAATGAAACCCTGCTAGGCTTGCTAGGATCTTGAAGCGACCGAATCCCAGCCCAGCGGAACATTTTAAGAGAAACAACTCTAATTGCGAGGCTGATGAGCTTAACAGTGACTTTGATCGACCTTGTACATTCTAACTAAGCCTTTTGAGAGTACTTGAACTGCAAATACATGTACATTTCCCCTATGACAGGAGGAGAGCACACCGGTCTTTGGTAGGCAGAAGAGCAAAGAAGCAAGTTGGTGACCCCTCACCAATAAGTTACCGGCGATCACTTCAGTAAGCGGAAGGTGTGATGGCATCGCGCCTTGGTCTCGAATGCCAAGACGATGAACGATATACTATGGGAAGCCGGAACAATTACAGGCGAGGGGAGATTAGGTCGCCGATTAGGACGTATCCATTGGTGGAACAACAACTTAGTGTATCACTACCTGGATCTACCTCACCAGAAACAAAAGGGACAAACGAATGCCATAAACACGAGTTACATGTCGTTGACTAATAATACCAAACAACGATTATCAGCTCAGATATTGTTCCTGCTTGACGACCATGGAGGTGAATTATACAGCGAATCCGCTCCTGTTGCATTCATCGATCAACTTCTTGGCACCGACGATCTGCTCAACCTTGCCATTCCCCGCCCAGTTGACAAGCTTCGACCTGTCCAATTGTGGCTGTGCTGCCGGCCATCCATCCTTCTCCAGGCCGTGAACAGGATCACTAGCAAACCTGAGGTAAAGATCTTGCATTCTCTCACTGACCTGTCGCTCGAATTTGGTTGATGGGCCCTCAATGCCATGAGTACCGAAGATCAGAGGCAATTCAGCAGTATGGTAAGCGCCCAGCCAAGGTAGAGGGGAAACGTTGGTGAAGTTACCCGCGTAGAGGTACTGAAATGTTCTGGCACCTGCTATGGATCTTAAACGATTCTCTTTGAGGGTAGTACATTGGAGATTGAGACCAAACCCATTAGCAATAGGCTTGAGGTTCGCCGGTATCTCTGTTGCTGTTTCGTAGCCTGGGAAGTTGTAGGGAATGACAGCAGCTCCTTCATTCGTGTTTGTTCCAATCAAGAGAGGAATATTTGCTGGAAACTTGGATGAGCCTGTAGTGATTCTCTCTGTATAGTTGGTGAAAGCAGTGGTATTATCAGGAATAAGCGAGAAGCTGAGGCCATCGTCAGCAGCACCTCCTTGGCCAAGTTCTGCTTGTAGATACTCCTTAAGCTTGTGCTCAGGAGCCCCTCTCATGCACTGGAGCTCTTTTTCAGGCGATAGATCACCGCATCCCATGTGCCTCGCGGCAATAGAAAAGGTGCTGTGATTTCTTGCATTTCCTAGGCTTCCCTCAATCGCAAGGGCATTCCCGGAATCGGCTATGACGCCCTTGACAATTGGGTCTCGAGCCCAAGCAAATAGATACCCATCTGTAGCATATGCACCTGCACTTTCACCCCAAAGCGTGATCCGGTTGGGATCGCCGCCAAATCGAGCAATGTTAGCGCGTACCCATTCGACTGCGAGACGTTGGTCGAGCAGCGCCAGGTTCAGGTTCTTTCCTTCTTTTGCCAATCCAGCAGCATTCGGCAATCCGAAGATATTGAGTCGATATTGGATCTGTACAACGATGTGCTTCTGGCTTCGCTGGACCCAGGGCTGGGCAAGCTGATATGGCACGTTGGTGCCTCCAATCATATAGCCACCTCCATGAACCCAGATCACGACAGGCATCCGTTCATCTTTCGCGTCTTTATTTTCAATTATAGACTTCTTGGGGGTGAATAAAGAGAGTCTCAGACAATCTTCTGTGGTGTTCGCGTAGTCTCCACGCTGGAAAATGGCAGCAGAAACGAGGCTATCAGCAACAGTACCTCTAAGCAATAGAGGCACGTATTGGATACACCCACGTGGTAGTTTTGTTGCTCTAATGACTCTATCCCCTGGATAGCTTTTTGCAACAGGTGGCGAGAACCTGAGATCTCCGACCGGCGTTTCTGCAAATGGGATGTCAAGAAATGCGGCAACGTTTGGGTAAGATGGTTCAGGGAAGGGCGCAAAGATGCCAGAACTCGTGTTAACAGTTAATAGCTCGCCTTCGTATGTACTGGCTGGTAGTGCTCTCGCCAGTACAGGCCACGCTGCAAGGATGAAAGGGTTGAGATGCATGATGGTCTTGCTACTTGGCTGTCAGCGATACATTGACAACGGTGTAAATAATTGGCACGATATCTTATATACACGATCCCTATCGACGAGGAAACTTCTCATACAGAATCTCCTCATCAAATAAGTCACCATTCTTAATAAGCATGACTTGTACTCCGAGCTCCAAGGTCTTTAACTCCGATAGAACCAAGTCTCATCGGCGCTTATATCCGCTTCGCATGTTGATCAAGCACCGAAGAGCAGGGAAAGACATGTCGCTTAGATTAAATGGGCTTAGATCTTTTGCTCTATTATTAATCGCGATTTATAATGGCAAATTTCCTATGAATTAAGCCCTTCTAAGTCCATGCTATAAGCGTCGGACAATTTGCGTTGTCCAAAGTCCGGCTGTCAGCTTACCACTAGTCAAGCTACCAAAAGGCCTTTCCGAAAAATGAGGCGGTAGCTCTAGTAAATCCTTTCCATCAGCTCGGCCCAAAGCTTTCTGAGGCATGATAGTAGGTTGATTGCCCACCTGAAGACCAGTCGGTTGATGATGGATACTTCCAGTACGTCCGGGACAGTAAACGAAACAGCAGAAACGGCATGTTTGGATATCAGAGTATAGGCTTGGCCATGCTGTCAACTCCTCTGAATCTATTGAACTCTCAGAAGTTTTGGCTTGTTGGAAATGCTCCGTGGGTGAGTGGCGATGTGAAGTATGGCTCCACTCCGTGATCAATTCAGCGGAGTTACGCTGTTTAATGGCCTATGGCTTTCCAGATGGTTTTCATGGTCGCTCATCCATGTAATCTCGGTCACGTAGAAGTTCCCTCAACTGTTTTAAAGCCTTCATGACGGTGGCCTTTCTGACAGCACTCCGATCCCCTGGAAAGTAAAACGGCCCAAACGCCCGGTCCTGACCGGCCCTCGAAATTCCAATAACCACCGTCCCAGGTGCTTTTCCTTCCTCAGTGCCAGGTCCTGCCACGCCCGTCGTGCTGAGTCCCCACGTCGTTGGCGTATCGAGCGTCGTGATACTGCGGGCGCCAGCGGCCATCTGTTCCGCGACTTCCCCATTGACAGCACCGTGTTTCGTGATTATAGATTGACTAACTCCGAGTATGTTGACCTTTATGCCAGTGCTGTAGGAAACAATGCCGCCGCGACATACAGAACTTGCGTCTTCGACTGCTGTGAGGGCGGCCATGATACTCCCGCCTGTTAAGGACTCGGCGACGCCAATAGTTTCTTTCTCTTCCTTGAGAAGTCTTATTACATCTTTGGCGATGTCTGAGATGGTTTCTGAGCTTCGTTTGACGTGTTTGAAAGTTGCCATATTGGCGTTTGGGTAGCGGTTGATCGACAGATTTGATGTGAAAACCTTATTCGATAGCTTCGATAGCTTCGATAAATAGACCAGAGACAATGCAGGTGAAGTCACACATGCGAAAAGAATTTTTCACACTTCAGGGCAATATTAGAGAAGCTGATGGGTAAGTTTGAAGAAAGTCTATGATGGCCTTATGATGGCCTTATGACGTCCTGCTGAGCAATCTTGACGACATCAACTATATATCCAGTATTGACAATGACTCACGTAAAGCTTTTCTCTCACTCATTACACAGAATTGAATCTCAATAAATGCTACTGCATGCAGACAATCTCGGTGGACAGAAGATACGGGACATTCCTCGACGCCTGTGAGTCCTTGGCCGAACATCGGTGATTCAAGATCTGATCTAGAGGA